CCCTCCTTTCTACTGGGTCCCCTGTCCGGCTTTTCCCGCCGAGACGGTTTTCCTTTCTTTTCTTTTAACAGGGAAAAATTGACTCCACCAATGACATAGTGGAAACAGAAGATAAACCCAACCCCATGAAGCACATCATGACAGCCATCTGCATCTTTATCATGTTATGCCTGCTTCTTTTCCTCACTGCATTGATCTGCTGGGACACACAGCAACAGCAATGATGGCTATGTAACCCTCCTCCATTCCTTCCTTCCCTGCTTATTGGTGTAAGTATACTCACAGTTGTCCAAACACAAGACCCTTGGAAACATGCATTGCAAAATTACACTGGGAGTAAGTGGATTGCACTGATCACACAACAAGTTTGCATAGGGAGCCCTGATTGCCCAGGAGTTGTAGAAGTAATCACAAATTGTCGTTAAGGTGGATTTTGGAATGTCCTGGGTTAAGCTGGGACAAAGTTAACTTTCTTCATAGTGGCTAAAAAAAGGCTGTGGTGTTTTGGATTTATGCTCAGATGAAAGCTGATAAAAAGTGACGTTTACCCAGCTGCCAACAAGGTCTTCAGCTTCTCTGGCTGTCCTCAAACAGGAGAAGCTGGAAGGGAGCACAGCCCCAGTTACTAGACCAGGATTTGATCTTAGGTTTGGGACTGGGACCCAGGGTGGCCAGTAACAAAATTTAGATTGCTGGTATAATTTCACCTTCATAAAACCTGTAATTGGATTCTGCCTCTGTGGTTACAAAGAGGTAGCATTACTACTTGATTTTAGAATTGCCTCACATAACATATGGGACATATGCAAAACCAAGTGGCCATGGACACATGCTCGTATAGACTACAGTGGACATGCATTTAACACTCAGTTTGCCTGTAGTAGCGTTACGGAAAAAATTTGCCCTACCCAAACGTAAATGGATTACAAAAGATAATTCGTATAACCCCTAGGACAAGCATCAGTTGAATGTGCACATGTTACATTGAAAACCTTGATTTTAAAACAAACAAAGAAAGGGAAATTCTCTGGACACCACATAATCAGCTAGCGATGGCTTTAGACATTCTGTTTTTTAAACAAAAATCGTTTTGCCTTGATGGCAGTGGAACACCATTTTAGCACTACAACAGAATTATAGCTAAACTATAGGTACAGTTTGTGCTAAAACGCCTATGTATATTTGGGGAAAAATGATGAGCCACCTGTCAAAATCCACCATTCACACATATCCCGGAGGCAGTCATCAGGCCAAATGCAGGTTTATTACTGACACCCAAAAACAGGTATATGGTAGGGGCCTGCCAGGGTGATAAGAACGTGCCCTTACGAATGACGGGTAGCGCTTAATTGCTAATGCTAAATACAATAGACACTTTTCAGCTGCAGACTTTCCACAAAATTTTTGACAATTTTAGAGATTTTGAATTGTGGAATATCCATCCCACTGTTAAGAGTGGGTTGAAAAAAGGACAAAACAAGTTGTGCTGAAATTGGTAATAGCAGTGTCTGATAATTGCTGCAAACGAAGATTAATTGAAGTCTGTAAACCTTCAAATTCTCAAGAAGCTAATTCTGAAGCTAAAATGTGCAGAGATCAAAGAGGGCTAGGCAAGTTAGCATGCAAGTGAGGATTTGGGCTTGAGTGCCCAAAGAGGGTGTGGGCTTGATTGCCCAAAGAGGTTGATTGTATCCTGAACTACAAAACTGAGTGTTACTCACAGTATCTTACTACGGGTACTTGCTTCCCAGACACACCCCTGGAGACAGAGAGCATATATTCTGCATGCTATATGTGGGGGATTTGTAAAATTGCACTGGAGATCATGTTCAGAAATATCCCTCATAAATAGTAACTGCATTTCCAATTAAAAAAAAAATACGTGTTGTTGCGTCTTCATTTCCAGAATATTTGTCAGGCACACCTTACTGCCTTCATAGCGATGTGTCATTGTGCAGGTTGAGAGCGCACAGCTGTAGAGGGTGATGAGTTATTCTCATTGCCCCAGTGCAGGAGCATGGACGGGTGGGGGAGCCACAGTTAGAGAATCAGAGAAAGCAGAGACCACCGCATCCACTCTTCTGCAAAACACTCCCAGACCCTGTGGCAGCTGAGCAGTCAGCACCCTGTGCCCGCGTTCCCCTAAGAAGCGATGCACAGACACTCACAGGCGCAGCGTTTGTTCAAACATGCCATTTATTGGGAACTTTGTGGAAAATGAAGCTCACAGAAGGAATGGACTCTCTCAGAGGAGGAGGGGGTGGTCACCGTCCAGGTGGTAAGGACGCTCTTGGCACGGGGCTGCTGCGCAGGGTTTTCCCTTCCCTTTCTGTGTCCTGCAGTCTCCCGTCTTTTCCCCTGCAGTATGAGGCCGCTGTCTGCCCTCAGCTGTGAGACTGGCAACCGCAGCTCTGTACACGAGGAACTCTTTCAGTGTCCGTAGTACAGCAGTGTTATGAGTCGATCTTGCAGCACCATGTAGTCACGCAGTGCCTGGGCATGGTCGGCCGGATAGTGCAGCAGGTGGTAGAAGAGGTTATATGGCTTGGCCGTTTTGAAGGGTGGGGGCAAGATTATCTCCTCGGGCACATTCTCGTTGCCAAAGAAGAAGTGGTTGAGGCATTTGTCCTCCAGGCAGCAGCGCAGGAACTGCATGATATCCTCCAGCCGCGGCAGGAAATCCCTCCTGCGCCAGCCTGACAGGGGTGTGGTGGCCAGGAGGTGCATCACAACTGTCTTCAAGGTATAGGTGGTGAAGTCTGTGCCCTCCAGGATGCTGGCCCAGACCTGCAGGCATTGTAGGTGGAAGCTGTTACGCGGGGCCTGCCTGGCCACGTGACTGAAGAACTTTGCCTCCGCCACAGCGTAGCTCTCTGGCCATATGGTGCTTGGGATGAGGAAGATGTCGTCTCTACCCTCACTGCTCAGGAAGAGGTCCCAGTCGCCTTGCTGCACCCCAAAAATTATCTCAACAAGGACAGTTCTCCCGGAGGCATTTGTCAGCTGCAGCTTGCAGGAGCGGCTGGAGGGCAGCACCTTCATGTCATAGGAACACGACTGAGGCATCCTCGCCCAGGCTGAGCTGACGAAGCTCTGGAACCAGTGGGCAGTTTTCTCCACATCTAGGTAAGAGTGAGGCTGGGACCCTGATTTCTCCTGAGCTCCTGCTCAGGGCGGTGGACAAAGCAGAGCGATTTGTGCACCAGCTGCACCTCCATGCAGGTGCACTTCAGCTCCACGCGGACCCTGGAGTCACTCGCTGGCATCTCCCTCGGAGTGTCCAGCTCCAGGTGGAAGGTGTGCCCACGGGGGGGCTTCAGAGGTAAGAGGAGGCAGGAGACAGCATCATCCTCACGGGGAGCCCAACCTTCAAAGGTGCTGCCCACCTTAATGGCTGGCTGCAGCACCAGGAAGAAACTGTTGAAGAAGAGCTCTTGGCTGGCACGGAGGAGGTTGCCCACCAGCTCCTCCACCAGCTGGCTCCCATAGGCGAGGTCCTGCGCTGGCCACTGGACGCGCCGTGCAAAAATCCTGCCCAGATCCCTCTCACCATCAGCATCCTCTTGGTCACTTTCTTCCTCCTCCTCCTCTTGCGCCTCCTCCTCCTCCTCTTGTGCCTCCTCCTCCTCCTGCTTGCTGTTGCTGCTGGAGCTATCGTCTCTGTCCCTGCCATCTGGCTGATGGCTCCTTTTACTGAGCCACCAGCAGAGCTCGAAGAGTAGGACCAGTAGTCCCTCAAGGGGCCAGAATTGCCACTGCTGGAAGTCAGAGAAGAGAAAGGCTTCCCAGGCAAAGATGCTTTGCTCCTGGGTCCTCAGCTCCAAGTCCCCCTGCTCCAGCTCTGCCAACAGTTGAGACATCCTGTGTCTCAGCTGCTCCTCACGCTGCATCATGCGCATGTGCGTAGCCTCATCCAGCTCTATGAGACATCCTGTGTCTCAGCTGCTCCTCATGCTGCGTCATGCACATGTGCGTAGCCTCATCCAGCTCTTTCCCGACTATGTGCGGGTTCAGGATGAAGCCTTGCAGAAGCACGACAAGGAAGGCTAGAACAGCCATGGAGGTTGGAACATGTTGATTCTAAAATGTATATTCTTCTATGTTTTCTGTTTTGATGTTTTAGAAAGTGAATGAGGGAGCAGCACTTTCTTAAAAAACTTGGAAGAGTATTCTGTAGCCCATGTAAGTGGCTTACATGCCATGAAATAGAATATTTATTTTTCTGTCATCCCATATGTCCTGCTGTCTATTTTTTTTTTTTAGTTTAATTAGGCAAATAATGGGTCTACTTTCTGTCTTAAGGAAAAAAAAAAGCCAATGCTGATTGCTCTGGAAGGGTTACCTGTCTAAAGAATTCAGGATCTGATTTTACAGGAATCACTGTTCGGAGAAAGTATTGATTTTATGATGGAGAAAGAGATCTTATTGTTCTTAAGATCTGCTTTTACTGTGGAGTCAGAAACCTTACAATTTCTGTGCATTATTATATTGATTTAAGGGATAAAAAAAACCTCTTGAGCAGATCAATACCAAGTTTGTACAACAAACCCCCATAGTGTAAATGTTAAAAATCAAATTCCTAGGAATAAAAGACAGAAGGGTAAGATCTTTCCTGGCTTAATCTGGTTTACCTGAGTATTTATGGCAGCACAAGCTTAGAGTGCATTGTAGAGTGAGAAGAAATTATACAACTCATTCTTATTCTATAGCAGGGCAAATCTAGAGTAACTCCTGTACTAAATATTTTACCTTAAAAGTATTGTGAGAAAAAAGTCAAACCAAACACACTAAAGATGACCTGCAGAATTTGAAACAAAATGAGACACATATGGGGAAGAAATTGCATTATAATAATTTGATTACATATTTCAAACAGATTTCTCAGGCCCATGGCATATCCACAGTGGAGATGGATTTGGTAATGTAACTGTAGTGATATTGGTGTAAATGTGGAGTTGCTGCAGTGACGTCATGTTAGCCCCATTAATTCTGTGAAATCTTACTGACACTTGTTTTTCCCCTCAGCCTATTTTAAGTAAATGATTAATAGTTTAGTAATTTGAGCTCTTACGTAATAGACCATTTGTAATAGCAACTTATCAAGAATATTCTCAGCTGAAATTCAGTATAATAGGTCAAATTCAGATTTCCCAGTGGTTTGCTCTTCATGTAGTCACCCTAAATTGCATTAAGGTTAACCAGAGGCAGAAGGCTTATGTTTTTCAGGATGAAACCTATGAAATGCAATTCAGAAAGCGATTGTAACCTCTGTTAAGGCTGCCCAAATTTAGAGCTCTGAATCAGAACCATCCATAATGCAAACTGGATGCAGGGTTCATATATTCAGTTCCAAATTTTCCCTGCATGAGAGATTTCAAAAGTTTGACAGAAGAAGGTAAAGAACAAAGCCAGCTATCAATAGCACAGGTGGGAAAAAAAATCTCTTTACACCCATAGCACTGCTGAGAGCTACACTGGTGCCCAATATCGGGTGGAAATCAGAGCCACAACACCCTTCCTCACCTGGGAGCAAATAGTGGCTGGGGGGTGGTTGGTGACAGCTGAACAGGAGGGGCAAGAAGCACATAGGGAGGTGCTGAGGGGGTGGGCAGCTATGAACCACAGGGACCTTGTGGGAAGGAGCAGGTGTGGTTGACTTCAGGGAGGGAGTAGATGCAGGAGCTCTTCAGTGGGGGCTGCCTCCCAGCACGGTTTCTTCTTTCGTGGCAGGTTTCTGGAGGGCTCAAGCATGTGCAGCCTTTGGGTTCCATTAGTATTTTCCTGCTTGGGACAGCTGTGTGCAGGTAAGAGGCATCTTCTCCTTTTTTGTTGCTTATCTCTTTGTATCTTCTCCCTTTCTGTTTCTCTCAGGTTTTCTTGTTTCACCTTGGGTGTCAACTTTCTGCTCTAGGATCTGTACTGGGAGGGGATTTTAGGGCTTCAAACATATATTCTGCTGTAAGAGTGTTAAAGTGCCTCTACTGCAGCCAGGCTGGGAAGGAGGAGCTGCTGAAC